CCCCCCCCCACACACACACGCACGCAACGGCACACACCTGTCGACACGAACTCACCACATCACACATCGTCTCGCGAGCGCGCCGCGTCCTCACCTGGAAGCAGAACAAAAGCCATATGGTCAGTCGAGCAGCCCATTCCAAAACAGTGAGCAAACAATCACACAACCGCCCGCCCGCGCGCCACCTCGCGCAGTGTGTTCGGCTCCGAAACACAAAAGGGCGGAAAGACGTGTATGCGCGGACCACACCGCGGGAGGCGACAACGATATCCATAGGGGGTCGATACACACACACACAAGTTGAGCCGCGCCGTCGCGAATGTTTATGTAAAGACCGCGCAGCATCGAAGCACGCACGCAGGCACGCACGCACTCGCGCGCACTACTCCTAAAATAAAGTTCCTCAAACGCGTGTGTTTGGTGTATATGCATTTGTTATTCGGACGTGCCGCGCCGCGGACAGGGGCGGACAAGCAAACGGGGAAGCCGCCCTGCCCGGCCCGGCCAATGAAAGTATCGAACCATATGTGAAGTAATAATGCGCGCAGATTTATCGCACAGTGTCATCGCGCGGGCGCCGCGAGCTAAAATGATTCCCCGGCCGTTTGTCAAACGGGATCAGTCGGGAGCAGCGCGCCGGCAGCCAGCCGCAACCAGCAGACATCCATATTTCAGTCCAACGGAGGCGGGGCGTTGCGGGGCGTGGCGGGGCGTGGCGGGGCGTGGCGGGGCGTGACCCTTGTCCCCCGTGGGCGGCTGCTACTCCGCGCTGCGCGCAGAGGGTGCGGAATACGACAGAGGTGGGCAGGCCCACTCAAAAACGGCGCAGAGCGGGCGGAGGCTCGGGCGGAGGCCTACACGCTGCACTTCGCAGCGCGCGCTGACGGTTGCGCTGCTGAGCACCTAAAACAAGGCTCCTCCACAAAAGAGATTAAAAATTATGGCGAGAAAAAAAAAGGGGGGGGGGAACAAAACCACGAAACAAACTTGTGTGCTCCCGTCTGTATCACACTGAATTAGCAACCGAGTACGCTTGTATAGTCGCCGCCTATCCCCATCCCCCATTTTCCTTCTCCTGAACGTAGGGGAGCAGGTGACCGCAGCTGACCGGCAGCCGACGCACAGTGGGCGGAGAATCGAGCCACACCGACCCGGACAAAACATATAGCAGCCCCGCGCGGTGGTGGTCGGTGGTGGTCCCGGCGGCGCACAACACACGCCACCGCTCGGTACTAGACAGAAAGGCAAATAAATGGGAATGGGCAATCCGAAAAGGCCCTTTGTATGTGAGGAAAATAAGTGGTACTCGGTAACCTTTTCATCGTCCTCATCCGGGGGGCATCGCACGCATGCCTGCGGGCCCCGCCGAGCGGCGCAGTGTGGCGGGGCGTGGAGGGGCAGGGCGGGGGGCGGGGCGTAGAGGGGCGGGGCGTAGAGGGGCGGGGGGGGGGGGCCCCCCCCGCGGGCCTGCTCAGGGTGATTAATCACCCCAAGAGCAAAGAGAGCGCCGCGCCGGGCTGCGCCGAGGGTAATGGCATGACAGACCAACGCAGCGTGGCGGGGCGTGGCGGGGCGTGGCGGGGCGTGGCGGGGCGTGGTGGCGGGCCGGGACATGGCGGCGAGGCGGGACATGGCGGCGGGGCGGGGCGCAAGAGGTGGCTCCCACCACACACATACCACCACCTAGGAATACTACACGTAAAACGACACCGAGTTCTGCTAACAAACTGCTGGAAAGCAGAAAAGAACATCAAAAATAAAAAAAAATCGAAAAAAAGGGGCACACTGTTTTAAATTTGCAAGTCAAATAAATAGGAAGGTGGCATTCAGAGCCCACAGTAACAACACAGCTCTGCGCGGTGTCGCAGAGCTGGGGCTGGGGACGAGTCAGTCCCGGACCGGCAGGAAGGGGAAAATGATATGACTTTGCACCGCTTCGTTACACTCCCAGCGTCTTCCCTTCGGTTGTATCATCGACCTATTAAAACGAAAGAAATTAAAACAAAATTGTGAACTCGGCAGGATTCGCGAGAACCAATCCAGTGGAAATGTTGAAGCGCTCTCCGCCCCTCCCAACCTCCTCCTCCAGCCTGCCTCCTCTCATCAAAGCTAACCCGGCCGACCGGCAGAACTGGGCAGAAAACGCCAGCGAAACGCCGGCGGGACAGGCCGCGCTTGATCACGCTGTTTCCAATAATTTCCTTTCAATTCTTTTTTATATAGCAGCAGCAGTCCCGCAGCGAGACACACGCGAGAAAACTGCATTTACTCAACCCAATTTAAAGAAATAAAATTATGAATATTAAAAAATTGCATTGTGAGAGAAAACTGAAAACTGCTTATTTTCTTATGAGCTGTGTTGGTGACCCTGAAGTCCTTGTTTCATGAAGCCACGCAGTTGTCGGGGAGGGTTGGAAGGGGGCGGTGGGGGGATGCGCAAGTCGACTTGTCATCTCGAGAGTGGCGGCGCGAGGCAAGGGGGCGGGCGTTGGGCGTCTCTGTCCGGATGAGATGAGTCGACTCGTCTGTCGCAAAGGCCGATTTTTCTTGGAAGGGAAGATCCTGCAGTCCCCCGGATTTGGCACCACAGGATGGGCGTGAGAGAAGGAGGAAGTCGAGCAGGGAGGACGGCGGAGGATGGAAAGCACACAAAAAATGAAAAAAAAAGCACTCACGTAATTTTTCGGTCTTACGCCCGAATGAATCCTCAGCAGTGGTAGTCGAGTAATAAGAAAAGGAACATGAAAAAAATCAGAGGATACAGCCAGCAGACGCGATGTAGGAAATCAATGCACGTGTGTAGGGGGAGGCGCACGACGTCGGGCGAGGGGAGGGGGAAGACGGACGGGGTTTGATATATTGTTGGTGCAAACGGAGCCAAGTGCAGTCGGGCGGGCGCGGCGGGGCGCAGCGGGGCGCGGCAGGGCGCGGTGAGGCGTGGCGGGGCGGGGCTGGCACGGAACACCTCGCGCTTGACACACACATGACGGCGGGGGCGCGTGCAGAATGCAAAACAGATAAAATAAGCTGACATTATGCATGAGTGCCGAGGCGAGTCGGTATACATATGTGAAGAGAGGCGGGAGGGGGAGGGGGAGCGAGAGAGAGAGAGAGAGAGAGAGAGAGAGAGGGGGGGGGGAGAGTCAATGTGGGCGAGCGAAAAATAAAAAGATTTCGCGGCCCAATCGGCTCTGCATGGCATAAGTCCCTGGGTAGGCCTGCACACTGATAAACAAAGTGTTTAACTGGCGTGCACATGCAAGTGATCAACACTATGTTGCACACTTCACAGTGATCGCCTTGATGTTTGAATACTATTGAGTGCTAAACATGATACTTTGAACACATCAAAGTGTTCAAATTTACTGTGGAACACTTCGAACTATTTAGATATCCAGTCAAACAGTGTGCGTGTGCAATATAGTGTTGAGCACTTGCATGTGCACACCAGTTGAACACTTTATTTATCAGTGCAGTCGGCAGCAGCTCTCGTGCCCC